CTCTTTATATATTGAACCATTACCCCTTTGTCATATACGATGCAACTATTTTTCCCCAAGTTATCACTGTTTGTGGTACTTTTTATAATACAAAGTTCTCCATCAATTTATCAATCTTTCTTTTAAGGCTTTTGAACTTGGCTCCATTTGAAAATTCTAGCCCCTTATCATCATCCTCGCCTCTTTAGCTAAAACACTTCTGATGTTGACATCACATAACTTTTCACAGCAAGTCTATGTTGTAACTAAAACCAGCAACCACGGGAAATTAATCATTTGGAAACAAGGCCACGGGGCTTCAGTGGATGCTTTGTAAGGTGGTAACTGTCTGTTGGACTTGATGCTGGTTCGGGGGCGTTTCACATTGATAAATAGTCCCTTTCCCTGGCAGATGGTGTCAGAGTGGAAATTTTTGTAGTACGGGACAAGTTAAGGGAGTACATAAATAACTGTTTTGATTCCCAGCTTCTTCTGAGTTACAACATGTGGATGGTTTAAGCAGGTGCAGCCGTGTTAATCCACTGGCTGGGAGTGATTGATATTGCAGGTGTCAACTCCAGGCAGCAAGCACAAGAGATAAAATCATTTCATCAGTGCACTGAGAGACCACCAGGATCTTCCGGAGGTCCCACCCTCCAAAAGTTTTTTATGGAACCAAACTCCAGAAATTTTGATGCAGAGGACCGAGTCCCGGGCTTTCTGGAGGAGGCCGGTGCACAGAGAAATGTAAATATGGATGAGAACCTCCATCGTTCAACGCTCATCAAAATAAGCTCCACTCCACTTTCCGTAGTGCTGTGTTCTACCTACACAGCAAAGGGGAAGGTCGAGGAGAACTTTCTGGGAATGTGTATTTGTTTTTGATTCAAAAGTTGTCTCCTCTGGGATTATTTTCTTATTGGTTCAAGGTGAGTCCTTGCTTCTGGTCAGCTGTTGAGGATTTTTTAAATGCTTTCTCACCCTCTCGGGAGATGGACGGTATATGAGAGAGAGGACAGTGGAAGGTCACCCACCCCCCGCCCAGCTCGCCTGTGCACAGTGGGCCTTTCTTTTTTAACTTCCCTTCCACAAGCGGTCAGTCATGAAAGAGAGAGAGGGGAGACAGGTGGATTTTTTAAAAGGTATTTTGTTATAACCTTCATCAGCAAGAATCATTAGTAAAGATCAGGAAGCAGCTTTCCATCCCTGTAATTGAAAACACAAGAGCAGAACTAATACAAGGCTTTGGAAGAGAATGAAGGAAGGGGGAGAGAGAGAGAGAGAGAGAGAGAAAGAGAGAGAGAGAGAGAGATATGCTGCTCCCTACTCCACCCCCAGGAATAGCCACTTCACCTACTGGGAGTTTCTTTAACAAAACACGAATTTTAAAGAGAATGCTGATGTCAAGCAGTGCCACATCTTAACCACCTTTGTGTAGGAAAAGGACATTTCAAAGTAAACTCAAATATGAAGATGACTCAAGTAAAATGAAACTTACTGTTTTTATAAGTCATGAAACTAAGGATTTTTCTGAATAATACCACTTAGGCAGAAAAGAGAGTATACAAGGGTTCGAGTCACGACAAAATTAAAGACTCAGCCTCACAAAATAACCTTTTAAATTAAACTGTTTTCCAGTTCAAGACGTAGGAACATTTGACCCCTAAACACCAGACCCATTTGACAGATATTCTTAATTGACTGCATTAAGCTTAAAAATAAAAACGTATCATATGTAACTTAAAAAGTAATCATATAATTAATAGGTGAAAAACACGGAGAAAGATTGCGAGAG